AGAACAATACATAACAGAAATGAATAATATATAGTTAGCATAAATGAATTGGTTGGTCTGAACGTTTGATAATTGATGTATCAATACAATAATGTTTCCCAGTACTTAATTATCATGGAATTACAAGAAGAAGTTTCACAGAAGAATATAGGAATATAAGCTTTTACGGCCGATGCTACTGCCGCGCAGTAGCCTATTGGCGCAGTAGCCAATGAAATGTTTGATAATAGTATTCCATGATGGTGATACATGGCCTATCAACCCTGATTTGGTCTCTCTAGAAACAGTGAAAAGAGTATTGCTAATGAATGTTCAAAAATCACTCTCAAATATTTACCATCATCAATCCAGCAACATTATAAAACTTCGAGAACCCTACTAATATCACAAAGAGTCATTACGTACCTTTTGTGGTAAATCGATATTACTTTTCTCGTTTACATAGATTACTCATTTACATTATTATCAATATCAATGGCAATCATTCGAGATATGTTGAAATTTGATGAAATTTTTTTCAGATTGGAAAATATGAGGATTACGAAAATTAAGCACTCATTTCATATATCAATTTATTTTACGCGTTATTTTGGTGCCAGACCGTAGTAGCTCTGTTGGTTATTATCGAGCTGCAGAAGTAGGGCAATTTTCATTGGAAAACCAGACGACTATTCATTTCTAAAATCCGCCTCCTTTTTCTAAATAGATAAGAGATGAAAACATTACTCGGAGCACAACATTCAATTCGAATTAATGATACAGGCGGTCCGTGGAATGGGGGACACCAGTAAGGAGCGACATGCATGAAAAATAATTGTAGTAGTAACCATCGCAAATTAATGTGTCGGTAAAGGTTCTATAGGTAAAGGTTCTATAGGTTTATTGGTTGTAAGTCCATATCAGTCTTTACCTATCAAATGTCGTTGTTCGTATCTGGACGAAAGCTGAATAATGTAAAAAACCAATTTTTTCAAAACCGTTATCTTTCGCGCTGTAATGAAAAATTCGTTTATATTTATATTAATAACAAGAACAGAGATTACTTGGCCCCTTGACCGGCCACTTTGACTTGATAGAGGTGGAAATTCCATTTCGTAATCAAATTTGTGGAATAACAATTTTCAGAAACATATACTAGTAGATCATCAAGGTTTTAAAACAGTTTATGTAATGTTGGTTTTCCATTTTTCAACACAATATTTTTCTATATATTATTACACGACCGATTTCTGAAATTTAATAACCATCTTGTATATTTTATTCCATCAGTACATACGTATATACTTTCTGAAAAGCTCTTATATAGGGACATGTTGTTTTATTTATTATGGATAAATTCCATATCATATTTCATTGTTTCGCAAGTCTAAAATTTCATACATCATGCATAATAAAAATTTCTAATAACAGAGCAAATAGAATGGTGAAAAGATAAATAACTAGTTATCTCGTTTTGCGTATTTATCTCGGATGACATCTATAAAGACCAAAAAACCCGTTTGTGAGGCACCAAAATGATGATCCTCTTTCAGTTTTCAAGCCAGTAGCGTTATTATGGATCACAAAAGTTTGTTTGAACAACTAGAACTTCAAAATGTCAACAAAACTGAAATATAGAATTGAAATCTGTGGAATATTGTTTTGAAATTGGTCAGAAACTAGTAAAAATCAAGTAATTGTGGACCTTCATGTAGGTACCAATGCTCACACGAAAGATAAGCAGAGATTTAATTGTATGAAAGTTCCACTGGAGGTTCCACTACGTTTCATTATATAATTAACAGGGCATAACAAATCGCAAATATGTTACTATTTTAAATTCAATTTTTTTACCAGCAATCATTCCTATCAACTAACAAATTAGGGTTCATTATGCAGGCACACGGTGTATAGACAGGGCAGAGTAGCGGACTCATCTCGACCAAACCTCATCTGAAAACTTTTGGGACTTGAATCCATTCCGATGTTTTTGAATTTTTTTTTTCTGAGGAAGTTCGAGAAATGATATTTTGAAGTTTAATATTTATAGCAAATACTATCACATTCTTTCTTTACAGAATTTTTCCTCTACATGGAATAAATGTTGACTGTTGATTGTTGGTGATGAATATATCTATATATTTCTTCAGAAATCATATCATTTTCAGTATGAGATAGCTTTTACTGGCCTCCAATTTTCTCTACGATCTTTTTTTCATCAATAGCTTCAGAATAAGAAAAGACAAACTATAATACCAACGGCGGGAATATAAAGGCAAAGAAATAATCCTAAATTAATGTAAGTCGTCAATGAAAATCTAAGAAATGTTCTATGTTTTGTACCACGTTTATTGGTAAACTAACTTTACTACAGTTTCGTCCAAACTGTGATTACTGTGAAATGTCAAAAATGAAAAAAACAATGGTAGTCCGAAACAGTACCCTTCAGTGAGAGACAATGCCCCACCCACATTCAAACAAGCGCACATAGTAGCTGCCTAGATTCGGCACACCACTGTTTGTACAGTATATTTTTTCGAGTTTGTTTTGTTGACCTCTGCGATGATCACGACAAACAAATTCGCACCACAGCGTATGTTTTCTGCCGAGTGCATTTGAGAGGTCAATTACCGACTGTGTCCCGGATTATTTGCCAAATTTATATTCAAAGCGGGCGGATATCAATTTGTGTCATTTTCGCTTTTGGTCGCAATGCCGGTTCGGCAACTCAATTATTCTAGAATTTCATCAATTAGTCGACATCGTATACCGTGAATTTTGACGATATCAGTCGAGTCCAATAGCGAGCGTATTTATTTCACCATGGTTTACCTGATTTCAATTATTTTCGATATATGTGTAATTCTTTTCAATATTTCTAAATGATAAAATATGAAATGTTTCAAACTAGTTCATATTAAGCTTGTCACGCTAGTCAGTTCACAAGTTGAATGTGAGCAATAGTTCACTGAATTCAGACTGACGTGTAGAAAAATTGTTTTCGATGATTTTTCAGCACACACAAAATTGTAGTCAGATACATGTTTATTCGAACACGAATAATTGAAAAAAAACATAATTGACATATATTTTTCCACCGAACAAAGTTGTTTTGCAGGTCCATTAACGTTTTTGCATTATTTGTATGTAAGTCATGAAAAATCTTTAATTTCTATTAACATATTGCTACAACAACTGATAACAATACCGTCAAACAACAGACCGTCGTTAAATCGACCTGTATGTCCATCAAGTCAAGTATGCTTTTTCCTGAAATTTTTACTATCGTAAAAATGAATTGACAAGTTTTTAACTCACTAATCTAATCAATTATGAATAAATCCTGTTATTCCGTTGTTTTTGAAAATAAAATAATTCCATAACAATTTTTTTTGTTCAATTGTGAAATATAACAATTATAAACACAAATTTGGCGAGGATTTTTTTTATTTACTACACTTTTTTATTTGTTCATTAATGATTTATTAACAAATGATGTTAAAAATTTTATTTAGCTTCAAATACTGCGTCATTCCGAATCTAATGAGCTATTGTTTATATTTTTAGGAGTTTTATCTCTGAACACAAAATTCAACGTGTGAACTAATTCATTCATTTCGTTGGAATCCAAAGAAATTGCATTTCTGGTTGGTCGCCTTCATTTTCTTTTATCATCCTGTATATATCTGACGACATTGCAAGTAATCTGTATGACCTAAATACACAATTATATCTTGAAATGTTACTTCACACAAATGTGAAGAGATTGACATTGGGGTAACCTTATCATGAACGAAACCAAGATTTTTTTTCGCGAAATATTTTGAAATGTTTGTTTTATTTTATCTGTGGTTATAATATATCTGAGAACTCGCGTTCCAAGCTTCGGAAAAAATGTGATATTACGAAACTGTTTGATAGGAAAAGTTACTCTAGTGATATTTTATATTTTAAAGAAAGCGTTTGGTGACTTATAAAGATAATGATGAGGTGTGAAAAAACCGCTTGAATTATAAAATCAGTCGTTTGAAAAACTCTTCTTGTACAAAATGAAAATGTATTATCGTTTTTCGATTATCTTGTATAATATAATGCAGATCTACGTAGCCCACCTGTCCCAGCTCAAGAAAGTATTGCAAACCTGGTAGAAAGTTTCCGTTTCCAAAATTTGACATTTTTTATGATATTTAAACAAGTTTTAGTTAACCAGCTGTCATCCACATTCCAACAACAACCCTCAAAAGTCGAAACGTGTTGAAACTAAGGATAAACGGGGTCTTATCTTTAAGGTGCAATTTACCCAATTAAACTTGCGAAACATTGCACTGGTTGATTTCAGAAAAACCCTTCCGCGTATATTTTATCTCTCATATGCAATTTGAATACGCGATTATAGCGATGTAATCATCTACTATTAATGTGATGTCAGTTTAACATTACCTCTATTTCTTTGAACTATCGTGAAAAGGTTCGTTTAGTATTTTGCGAAATCCATTACCAAAACGGTACACTCTTGCGTTATTCTCAGTATAAATATTAACAAATTGGAGTTATAAACGAAATGGGTTTTGTAACTCGTGTTTTTTTTTGTTTTGCAACATATTTACTATGTTAGCACACGATGTTAACTAACGTTGATTAATAATTAAAATGTTTCTGAAAATATTGACATAGCTCTCTTGGATTTCAATATAGTAATAGTTATAACCGAGCCAAACTTGTAGGTTTATTGGCAAATACCTGATAATATATTGCGCAATACTAAATCTGAAGTGTCAAACTAAATATCTGGTGTGAGAACCGCTTTGATGGGTATACTATTGCACTATAGGAGAGGTATCAGAAAATAGGAGAAAGAGAATTCAAAATAAAATGTTTAAAAGTTGGGTTAATGTTTCGTTCGTAAATAGAAAGAGTTTTATTGTTTAGGAAAATTAGAATTACGAATATATATTGGTTTCATTATTTTATTCAGCTCATTTCAGTATGCATTATGTGTTAATATTTTCTTTTTTTTCCAGGACGGAGCTTAAATTAGAGTCTTTAGAAGATGCTGTAGTATTAGATGAACCAGAATATGATTGGCTACACGATAAGAGGGGGTGTCCTGCTTACGTGAGTCCCGAAATTCTGAAAACCGGAGCACAGTATTCTGGAAAAGCTGCTGACATGTGGAGCTTGGGGGTCATTTTGTTCACCATGTTGGTTGGGAGGTAGGTTTCACAATCTATTAAAAAAATTAAATTAAACTCTCCTCAGTTTTTCGCTTCGATGTTTTCAATAACTTCATTTTTAAAAACCCTAGACAAATTGATAACTTTTAGAAGGACACTATAATTGACGAAATGATCAAGAACAAATGTATGACAGATAAAGAAAGAGTGATACTTACGGAAAAGTGGATTTTTCGTTTCTCCAAGGAGTATTCATTTGTTCATTTTTTTTCCTTTCTTACCTGCAAACGAAGACACTAAAAGAACAAATAAAGGAAATTATCAGGAGATGGAAACAAAAACTTCGGAAAGAGTTTATGAATGAACAGAATCAAACAGAAGTTTCAGTGAAAAAAAAACAGATTAAAATAGCGCAGTGCTGAAAGGGGTGGAGAGACTATTACAAAATTATGTTCGAAGTGTGATATGAAAATTTATTTATAGAAGAAACAGGAGAGATACTGAAAACAAGGCATATGACAAAACAAAAAAGTCTGAGAAAAAATAAAATAGGAAAGTGTGTGACGATGTGGCCTAGCCGATAAAATGAGTGAGAGGAATAAGGAAGGATTACTAACAGCATTAACTGAACTATGAAGGAACAAAGCAAAACAAAAAAGGAATTATAATCAAATAACAGCAAATTAGATGTACCTACAGACAAATCTTCTCGTTAACTTTAATCTCTATGAAAGTATAATCAGAAACTATATTTAGGAAAAACTAGACGATGATTTATCACCTTTCAGACCCAGAAGATAGAAAGATAAATAGAAGGATAAGGAAGAAGACGAGTGAAAAAGTTGAATCCATTCGTTATTAACACCTTACAAATTTTCGAAAATATTTCAATATCTACATCGCTCAGTTGATTAAATAACATCAGCAGATGCCACGAGCGAAAAGGAACAAAAATCGCGAATGTACTCACGAAGCCGAAGCACTTTGCAATATACCGACATGTGCGACCACCTGCCCATCTTTGACCGACGCCACATTATCTTTTTTTTTTTTGAACCCTCATGCCATCAGCTACTGTCAGGAGATGTGGGGCAGGTGAAATCTGCTGCGGCGTAATCTCCATCTTGACGAGGTTTCGTAAGGGCCTTAAGGGGTGATTTCGAAGGAACAGGTGAACCACATATGCCAGTGGTAAATAAAAGCTTGCATCTGCGATGTGGCTCTAGAATTTCAGTTTGAACCAATTAAGATCGAAAATATGTGTGATAGAGCTGGCCGATGATACCTAATGAAAATAACGTATTCAAATAACAGTCGACAGTTTACTAAACAGTCATTTAATTGTGTCGAAAATATATTTTTATATAGCATGTTCGACAAAAATAATTTCAATTTAATGATACCCTGCAGATTCTAACACTTTCAAGTTATGTGATGATTAAAGTCTCGCGAAAAATTTACATAAACTCTAGTGCGCAATGCTAGATCGTATCTCGAATCGTATAAATTTGTAAGACTGCAATGTGATTACGAAAAATATTGTGACGTCAAGATCGTAATTCATATTACTTTCAGAGAAGGAAAACCTTATATAACTCTTCAAAACCACTGTACTTTGAACTAACTTTTGAGTTCTCACATGTCAAAATTGCTCTTTCAATTTCATCTTTGTAAAGTATCATTCCATAATTGAATATATTCATAGATTGTTTTATTATATTCAAAACAAAATTAAAGAACCCTCAACTTGTACTCGCCAATAGAAATTCGAATAGAGCACACTAATTACCGAATAAATGGAACCAAATTATCTAGGTCATTATTCGTAAATGGTAATTTTGATTGTTGATTGGTATTTATTTCATTGTCGGGCCAAGGTATCGTAATTCATTCAAATTGGCATTATATTAAAATGAACTTTAAGAAAAATTGAACCAGAGTGAGATGTGATGATTCACATTGTAGAGCAAAATCTAAGTCTCATTACCAAACTCTGATCTTTTTCTCCGACTACATCAAAAAATAAAAGAAATGTTACAATTTTACCATGTATGGTTGTTTGTACTTATGTATGGTTCTATGGTAATGCGGTATCAATCTAGTCTGGAGTTTAGAATTGCTTTGGCTCATGATTCTGAAAGAGTAAACAATAACAAAGTCGCTGTCATTTTTAGTTCATGAATGAATCAAAGTTTTAACGACAAAAGTCAGTAGAGTCTCATTTATAGATTATATACAGTCTACAAAAGTAAACCCGAAAGTATAAATGCGGTTGAGAGGATAAAAACAAAAAAAAGTTTAAAAAACTGTAAAAGAGGCCCTAGACGGCCAATCAATTTGATCAAAAGCTTGAGTCAATCGATAGACTCATGCGTGATTGACCGTGTAGGAACCTGTTTGACGCGTGACGCGAGGCTTGATGGTGATTGATAGAAATTTTGAATGACTCAAGCGGTTGACCGTCTAGGGCAATTTTCGTCAAGCATTGCGTCAGTCACTAGGTAGAAACTATGGCGTCCGCTACGGAAAGCGGGCTTCCCGAAAACTCTGGTCAAGAATTCATTAACCTATTGATGGAATTATATCGCGATTGTCCGGAATTATGGAAAGTGACGAGCAAAGACTATTACAACAGAAACAAGAAAACTGCATCATTACCATGTACCACTCCTTCGACCACCGTCGTTTCTTTTTCTGTTGTTTTTTCCGCTTGAAGGCAACCAATGTGAGGGACAGGAAGGCCAAATTCGTGTTCGAAACCATTGTTCACCGAAATGAACCACCAGCGAATGAACAACAAGTGTGCACTGGTCCCATTTCTGATGAGAAGAAGGTTTTGATCAAAAGATTGAAGGGCTGATTGCAGTTGATTGAAGCGCGCGTCAATCGATTGACTCAATCGTTTGATCAAACAGATTTATTGTTTAGGGCCACCTTAAGTAATATAAACTAAAAACAAAGAAACACGTTTGGTTCTTAATACTATCACCGTTTTATCGAGACCAATAATGGGCCTAGCTTTCAAATTTGCAAATATGCATACATTCTCAACTACAACTATCTATGTTGCCATTCCGTGACAAAAAGTCGTAACTATGAACGAATTGCATGTTTTTTATTATGTTATCCGTATTTGCTACTGAAGAGCCGATAAGGCAAGTGTCTTAACGGCGAAACATCGGATGTCTGACAGTGAGGATGACAGTGTTTCATGTAAGTGAAATTTCACTTCTTTCATTAATTATATTCTATAGGAATCCTGTGAATGATATCTGATCCGATCCCATTACGAATGTTTGGAATACAAACGGAAGAGAGAAAAGTTTTTCGTATAATTCAACGTTTATATAAAAGTATTTGTTTCGAAATTATTTTCCTCTTGTGTAATTCAATGTTTATATGAAAATAGCTGTTTCAAAAAGCCTTTTTTTCAGTTTGTCTGAAAGTTACTTCTTTGCATGATCTGCACATCTTTCTATAGAGTAAATTTTTGAAATTGATTGCTTCCTTTCTTCCCAAATTTTTTGTAAGACTGAGAAGTAGAAGACCAAAAACTTTATTTCCCAAAATATTACCGTACACAGAAGTGAACACCGCTGACTTTGCTGAAAGAACGTAGCTCAGAGATCTTAAACTAGAAACTCTAAAAGACCTATATAAGAAAGTAATGTCTATAAAAACTCGTAAGTTAAATTTGGAATGTTTCCTCGAATATTTTAAACCGGTGTATTTTTTTCGAAGATAAATATAAATTCCATACGTTTTCAAGTTATTTAAAAATGAATTATTATGCGACGTTGGTGTTGTTTTCCATTTTATCTACGAATTCGTTTCCGGTTCAGTTCATGCTTTGATATGTGAATGTGTTAAGGTCCACATTATTGCATCATAGCTTTACGTTTCAGTACATTGTAAAAGGCAATTAATACATTCACCTATAATTTTTATTCCACCTGATTCGGTTGAAACTTTTTCAAATGTCGAATTGATTCAAACGAAAAACTGTCCAGTAGAAGTATTGAACAGACATCAATTTAGGCAAGATCACAATCTGTCTCCTCAACATTTTGTGAACTGCTGACTCTGAAATATTGCGTACATGTAGTATATCAGATCTACCTGGATCGCGAGAAGGGTTCATTATAAGCAGGTGCAGATTTTCAAGGGTTTATCGGAACTCATTTGGATTTTTTCGACAGGGCATTAATTAGAAACAGGTGGGTTCGCGTGTTTGGCTTTTTTGTTCTCATCACATTATAGATGTACATCAATTGGTATTCGATTTTCTAAATGATTAAATTTTTCTTTGTTTGGTAAGAGGTTAAGAATAAATAGAAAATTTTATCAATTCATCAAATGGACATGTAATACACTGATTACCAATTTCCACATTACAGAACATATTTGGGATAGAAGAAAAATTCAATTTCATTCCATTATTCAGTACATTATCAGAATTTTTGAATATATTACTTCCTGAACATTCCAAATATAATACTTCATGGTTTAACTCACACCATGTGAAATTGGTATTCACATTCAAGAAACTACTCTATGTTATTCTATTCTTTGGAAAAACTTTCTTTCCATTTGGCCAATGTAAATTTTTGGCAAGAACCACAAGTCAACTTGTATACTCCTGATCTATCCTACACTGAAGATTTTTCATTATTGTTCTGTAAACTGCCCAGTGGAAATCTCACAAATGTTACTTGAACATATGCGTTATGTATTTTCATCAATTTTCAGACAATTCCATCATATTATTCATTTTCAGTTGACAAAAATAAACAAGTAAGTTAAAAAATTTAAAGAATTGAAATTTGAAATCATACCGGTAACATCTCAATAAACCTGATGATATTTGGAAATTCAGAAAAGCAATATATTGAATTATTGATAAATTAAATGTGGAAATTTTTCATTTCTTAATAAAAAAATATGCAATATGACCCATATATATCAGAAAAACTGTAGGTGCATGACATCAATATATATTTTTATCAACTGAGGTTTTCTATAAGATATTGGCCTATACAGAAAAGAGGTTTGTCGCATTTCTGCATTATTTCGAATTCATTTACGGAAATATGTGTTTTCACCAACTTAATATTTAAAGCATGAAAGCAATAATCTCTAAGATGTCTTTCATTATCTAATGGTAATATTCTGGAAGTAAAACATTCTTCGTCTAAGATTTGCGATGTCTTCCAAAAAACATCAACAGTATTTTTGAGTTTAACGCTGCGTTAGACTGTCTTATTGGTTTGCATGACTTTTTTTGTTTGATATTTGTTTGCTAATTTTTCTCCAAATTTCGATGATTGTATAAAATCAATTATTGTTTACCATATTAGTGCATTAATTGATTCAACAGGGTTTCAAAAAACCTGGTTAGACATACATTCATAATACAAAACCTTTATTTTAAATGTAAATACTGAAAAACACATTAGTGGTATTTTTAAGGTAATCATTCGAATAGGAAATGTCACACCAATCATTTCAATATGTGTTGAAACTCTTGGTTTCAAGTTTCATCAAAACACGTGTCCCAAACACATGTGCATTCACTACTAGGCAATCTATCAGTTCCCAGTTGTCAACTGATGCGAATTCTTAAAATTATGGCATAAAGTTTCTTTTTTGTATAAAATTAGAATTTTCCTCGAATCTGATGCATTCTAATATTCTAATATTGTCGTACCAACGTGGTGAACTTATTTTTTCGATCTCCTGAGTAGAAATTATTTCGGGATATTGACCATATGCGTTAATAATCTCTATACCCTGCGAAACTGTAAATGTGTTGCGGTTAATAAAAAAATTGCTCTGATTGGAATTTTTCGACACTCTAATGCAGTTGAAATTATCTCTTCTCGTCCTTGTAAAATTACTGCTTTAAGGTGAAACACATAACTTGAAATCAAGGTTGGCGTAAGTTCAAGGTTCGATTTATAATATTGTACATGGCTCATAAACCATGACTAACTAGGAATAAAAGAATCATGGCGATCGTAGTATAGCGACTTTTTATGTTGATCGAAGCATGACCATTGTTGGATTCTTCCTCGTTTCATTCTTGAAAGGATACGGCCGAGTAAATTCACTAATCTTTCGCTGCTGAGCTGTTTTAGTTTTGTTATCGTCTATATCTGGAAGTAGGAAGTGAATGAATTAGATTTATCATTCGGTGATTCATTATCCCAAAAATGGTTTGTCGTTACAAATGAGTGAATGTGCTCAGTTGGTTTTCAAGGATTTTTCCAACTATAAATTTGTGAAATTTCATGTGATACATATGTATTCTTTATAAATTTAAATAGTTCTGGTATTTATAAAAGATTAATCACATTTTTTCAAATATGCGTTGCACGTTATATATCAAACCCAAATTGTGTTAAGGAAGATATTTTTAGCTCTATATTTCTCTAATAGTACACAAAAAACATTACAATATGCACATTTTCTTGAAAAGGTGCCATTTGTTATTTTTTGGAAGTTATTCTGTTTCTATGTACGACATTTAGAAGTATAAAGCCAAAATAGGTTTTTTTCTGATAAACAATTTTCCATAAAAACAATTTTCATGCGTATGTTTTTCCTTGTTCCATTTTCAAAAGAAAGAAACAAATATTTCCAATTCAAGTAAAATGGAACGATAAGAATCGGAATATTTTCTTAACAAACTTAGCAAATTAATTGAAAGCAACAAACCAAGTTTATTTTCACGTAAGAACGCGCGTGTTGTAACAGCATATGGTCATCGATATGTAACTTCCACCCCATCCACGAAATAATGACTAAAAGACAACTGTTGCACACAACATGCAGATGCAGTGCCGGACTTTTGATGTAGGTTTCTGATTCTAGTGAAACAAATTTTTGAATGTTTGTGAATAAAGAATCATTATTAGGCATGATTTCGAGAATATTTAGAAAAGAATTGGTAGGTCTATATGTACGTGTGATATGAATATAAGTATATATGAGAATATATGTTATGTTTATTTGTGAAATTATAAAACAACAATAAAAATGAATTGCCGCTCCGAGACGACTTCATTGATTCCAGTGGCGCATTTGCTTTTTCAGCTGCAGGAAAACCCGGAAAAACCTCTGCACCATATTATCTGAAGATTCTTATAAAACAAAATGTAGACTCCAGAGGCTCCAATAAATTCAATACATCGCCTGAACACTTCGTGACACAACTATCGTCAAACTTAAACCAGTCCGTTTCGTCTTGACCAAGACGTAATAATGACCAAATTCAACGCCAGAACCACAGTGAACAATGACTGCATGAATATTATAATAGTGGTCTGCTAGATTGAAGTGTTCATCTATTTCGAACCTTCGAAACAGTTTGGTTCTTCCGTCAGAGGTTGAGTATTGTTTGAAGATTATCAGTATTATTATTATATTGACTGGTGCCTCAGCTATACTTTTTTCCTTATAACAGTTAGTTTGGCGTATGTTTGGCAATACAGTCGATTATCACCTGTTAAAAATTCCATTTTCAGATGATTCAACAATAAGTAATAATTTTTAAAAAAATTAACTTTACAAATTAAAAACAATTTAATCCTAAGCAGGAGTTTAATTCCAGTTTTTTTAATTGTATCAAATACTAGTAGTATATGGTACATTTAATTGGCATTACCAATGTTTGCTGAAGATTAACTGTATATAGAAATGAAATCAAAGTAAGTTCCCAACAACTCTTAATATACCTTTCCAAGATTATGTGATTGGGAGATAGATATAGACTTTTATTTGATTGTCTTTACTGAAATGATCTCTGTAACTAATCGAATTGAATCCATTCAACTTCATTATTTGAAAATATACATATCTTTGACAAATTCTCTGAAAATGGCTGTCATCCAACCGTACATTTTTTTCAAATATATAAGAATATTCCAAAAATATGTCTCACTTATTTTTCATTTAGATTCTTTGTTGTGGAGTTTGGGTTTCATTTGATTTTCAATTGAGGGGTAAAGTGTACTGTAAAGTAAACAAGTCTTCTGTTTATTATCAAACTTGGGAAGTCCACTCCTGCAGTTGATGGGTAAGAAAAGAAAGAGGTTCATCGGTTCACCTGTATAATTTCGACTTCTGACAACATATGGTGCATCCGTTACGCATCATAGCTTGGGAAAGGAAGAAATAAGCCCGCAAGAAAATAACGTTCTTTTTCCCATCAAAAATCGTCTCTACCAACCGGAAGTGTGAATTTGCGTAGTTTTTATCGTTTATGGCTATCGAGGGGTTAAAATGCAACGTTTATAGTCCATTAGATGGCTTTGCATAATGAACTATTATAATTTATAGCGACGGGGTTGAAGTTTTTATATTTCAGCTAGCGTCAGCAAGTTATGCAACGTATTCTTTTATCGTTTCGTTATTTGAAATAACTGCACGAAATGTCTGAATAAATTGCATTCGTAACGGATATGACTATAACCACAAAGTGGCTCTAGTAAATTTAAGCCACAAAAGGAATGTTTGTCTCTGTTTCACGTTGGAGAAAAACTGAAGAAGTGAAGTAAATAATACCAAATTTTTATATATTCAGCAGAGAACACATATTGTTATAATATACAACACCGACATTGCTAGTTTAAGACTTTTGTTACTGTGTCCATCTGAAACAAAAAAAATATATTACTCTGTCATATTGAGATAGAGATGAACCCAATCATAATGAAAACCTCATGAAATAAGGCTCCATAAGAACTAACTTACCAGCAAGTATTGCTGCAAAAATGTCATTCAAAAGGACAGTCTAACATAATATTGATTGGTTGGAAGGTAAAACCGGAGAAAATAACCATTTCTAAATGAGATTTGGAATATAAAGGATAGACAAGACACTGAATAATAATAATAATAATAATTCGTCTTTATTATTTCCAATATTAGGTAGTTAACAGTTTTTATACAATGACATTTTTTATTACAGGAAAATAAAAGGAATCATGATATAATATAGAATGTGTACACTACAGGATCTGTCTCAACATCAGGATCATCAAAATGTGTTTATCGGACAAATACGAACGCATTTACAAAATTTAGTCCGAATATCCGTGCAAATAATGAATAATTATACAGGGTATCTCAAATATCTACATCATCCCTTCAAAAATACTTACAAGTACCATGGAAAATATAATGCAATACTGCAATCAACAGCACCGCTAGAAAAATTAGCATCTTCAAATAATGACATTTTTTGTATCACTGGAATTAGTGGAATTGAACCAAAATAAAGATATTTAATAATTTCATAGATAAGACAATTTCTCGAAAATTCTTGGCATTTTATTAGGAACATACATATTTCAACAATTTGATCAGATATTTATACCCTTGCAGGATATCGTTTACTTTTACCGAATGTTGACAGTTTCAGGCGTCTACGGGATGAAATCGAATTTTAGGCATTATCACCGTCAGTAATAAATATGACTAAGCCACTGATTGTAGTCTCGAATTTGCATTGTCTAAATTCCTCTTAACATATGTACAAATTCAATCCATTATCGCTTTGTTATGAGATTTTATGTGGATAGATTTGTGAGTGCGATTATGTTACATTAGCAGTTGACTTTGTACATTTCTTAGTATCTGAATATAATACAGTTTGTAACAGAAACCACGTCTCACAAATGGCTGCCCTTTTATAGGCATTAGTTTCTTAATAAAATGTCTGAGCACGATTTCAACTCACAAATGAGTAATCTTTTCTCAAAATGTTTTTCTTTGTTCCAGGTATCCTTTCAATGATTCCGAGCATATTTCTCTCTTCGTGAAAATCTCCAGAGGGCATTTCGTGATTCCTGAATCCATTTCGCCTAGAGCTCGATGTCTTATCAGATCCCTGCTCAGAAGAGAACCTTCAGAACGGTTAACTTCCGAAGATATTCTCTACCATCCGTGGTTGACGAAAGAGGACCGGAACTGGAAGCCTTCGCCATGTGATCAAGTAGTGCCCGAATGTAGTTTCTACGATTAGTTCCTAAGTTTTTTTCTGTGAAAAAAATTCGGGACAACGTGCAAATCTTGTGCTGTGTTTTAGGAATAAGTAAGATGTTTGCTGTATATCGTGAGGGTTGGCTGACTTTTTTTAGAGATTTTTATCTATTTTAGTTGACCTTTTGTCGAAATTTGTCAACCTTTTCGATATACTGCAACGTCTGTTGAAGCCATTCTGTACATTTTAAGTTTTGGAAGATTGAGGTATTAGTTTTGTTTTCATCTTGTATGCAATGAAAGTTTTTAGTTAAATTTATTTATTGATATTGTTTAATTTGGCTCCACCAAAAGTCTTTTTAATCTTTTTGTTGCTTTTCTGTTTCAGATTATTTTCTGATGTGACTGTTGTACATTTATATTTTTTCATTCTCGCACTTTAAGTTTTAGGTCAGTTGGCAAACTGAATATTTCTCTGTTTGAAGGCATCACTGTATCATTCAAGTGATTTTTTTCGAAGACTGAATTATTTTGTTTGGTGGATTCGAAGGTTGATTTCTTGTTTTTCTTTTTATTGGCAATCCACTGCCAAACGTTGTTACCTAATATTATACCACCAAATATGATTAAAATTGCATTGTATCGCTGCAAGGAAAATGAATTTGAGTATATTATTTATTCATACTCATTTCTGCAAATATTCCAAGCATTTTCACTCTATTTAATAGTCATTTTAAACTTTTTCTCTTAACATTTTTTCTTTGGAACATTTTTTTCTTATATTTTTACTCAACCGTTGGCTACAGTGTTGTTATCAGTTGGTGACTTGCAGCAATATGACGTAAGATATTCTACTTAGGTGACGTTAATGTTTGAAAAATTCAAAATTGTGATGCTGTTGAAAATTAGTTTTGTGATCTCGGTCAGAGAATTTGACCACATTGTATATTTTTGAACTGATCATGTACATAGAAGTCGTTGTATATTTCGTTTTATTAATTTATATTATGTTAATTGGTATATCGATGTATATCGTGTAAATAGCTTGGCATTTGTGAGAAAAAATTCATCGGTGGTATATTATGTTGTTCATAATAAAACGATAGTTTTTGTAAATATTTTGGTTTCATTTCACTCTTTCAGCAAACTCCCCAAGTACTTGGTTTATGAATCAACAATGAAATACTGTATCAATGTAATACTAATTGAAGGTTAGTATGAACACGCTGCTATATGCTACAACCGAAAATATTTGAGGTGGGTTAATCAAACGAGGAAATAGTTCACCCCCATCTTTGAATTTTTAAATACAGACCTGTATTTTTTGTTGTAGTTTTTGGATCGTAGACGTTCACTTCATACTGAGAAATTGAATTCAATTTTATATTTCGGGATTTTTCGGTAATATTCGATTACAATTGTGTTTATTATTCCCTTTTAAATTACGGCCCTGGAAATTGGTTTACTGGGTTGAATAAAAACACAATAGCAACTTTCACGTCTCCCTATGTACCGTAGAGTTTTTCTAGAGTTTTTTTCTCATTTTTAGGTACCTATTCATATTTATCCATTGCATGAACAACAAAAATATATTATATGTGTTTTGATGAGCAGAAAAAAAATGGTAGCTATAATAACATCCGAAAAGAACACTATAATTATAATGAAAATTGAAATGAAGTAAGTAATTTATATACACAAAAAATTCATTGTGCAATTAATGTTCGAATTGAAGTCCTTCCATTTCGAGACAAATAATGGGACAATAAGATGGTCTTCAAGATCACCAGATCCAACTATTTTGTACTATTTTCTATGGGGGGCATTGAAAAATAGGATTTACGCTGGCAGAGAGATAGAAAATGTGGAAGACTCGAGAATAAGGATTTTGAATGATTTCTCTGGCCATGCTTGGCACTTGCTAGTGGCGTGGTAGCAACCATAAAGAGAGAGGAAACAGGAAATATTTGAAATTTGATAATTGACATTATATATAGACATTTGAAGTTTGAAAATTTGACAGACAGCCAGGAAACAACTCTACAAACGTACTCCGGGGTGGGATTCGGAATAATGACTAATATTCCAGAGAGGTGCATATGGCAAGCTGTAGGTTCAGGTGAAAAACACCTTACTCCTTTCCTCTCATGTAGATCTACGACTTGTAGGTACGTGTGGCAGATATCCAACGGAAAACAACAACTAACCCAGCTAATGCCGCGCAGAGAGTGGAAGTAAAACCATCAGGCACCTGTGCCGATTTGGAAGATTCGTCGTAAGTTATTTCCCACTATGAAAAGCAGAAATTAATCTCGTTTGGTCGATCCGACCAACCGATAGACCGGTTTCGGGGTGTTTGCCCCATCATCCGTACCGGGCATGGCCTCTTCAGAACGATGTGAACCGTCTAAGTATCACGACCAAACAAATATAATTCCAGCTAGTCATGAAATCTTTCTGCAGTTGATTCAGTGGGATGTTCACTGCGCCAGCTGCAGACAGCCAGGAAACAACTCCATAAACATACTCCGGGTTGGAAGTCGGAATAATGACTAATATTCCGGAGAGGTGCATATGGCAGGTTCAGGTGAAAACACCGTATCCCTTTCCTCTTATATAGACCTAATACTTTGTATGTACGTGTGGCAGATACCCAACGGAGAAACAACAACTAACCCAGCTAATACCGCGCAGAGTTGAATTGAAACCATCATGCACCTCTGCAACATCTTCGATTAAGAAGATTCGTCGTAAGTCATTTCCCACTATGAAAAGCAGAAATTAATTTTGTTTGGTCGATCCGAACATTCAATAGACTCGGAGTGTGTGCCCCATCATCAGTACCGGGCATGGTCTCTTAAATTGACCCGAAATAGAAATGAAGATAAACACGAGAACTCTCTGCTTAGATATGTGATAAAACATAAAGAAATAATTATTTTTGAGATATAAAAAATATGTAGACTCAATTGAGAACATTGCGTTACTAAATTGAAATAACATGAGCAAATCTATACAGAAAGTCTCGGAAATCTTGCGATTGATGTATTTCATGGTTAGCTACAATTATTCTAATTCATTTCCGTAGTATTATTCTCATACTAGGTAAATTTTCTACCAGTTGAGATTTTTTTTTCAGTATTTTCTCTCATACATTTTACCTACTTCCTCACCTATTCATTTCATAACAATTAATTTCTTTCTAGTTTCTGCTTAGAGTGTGGAGAGATATTTTGGAAAAAATCATCTGAGAATTTACCAATGCGTTTTATTTCGAACACGTTTTACAAATTTTGCAATTCATTCATATCTTATCAAAAGTAATGAGCGAATTTTGCATGATTTCGTAGGAACATATTTATGATTTTTTATGAGATGTTGAAAGTAATTAAACCAATATGGGTGATAATATATCATCAACTACAAAATGTAGATGATGAAAAAATTCACAATATTCCGTATACGTATTTTTTATGACATGGAGAGTGAACTACGTAATGAAAGTAAAGTTATCTGGATAAAATTAGAAACTATTTGTTCAGGACCGATTCCGCTGAAGAATAAACTAAAAATAAATTACCTCAATATCACCTTTCTGAAAAATGATGTAATAAGTATATCGATGAATACATATTCTCCAAGACAAACCACCAATCACAGCAAAGTCCTACTTTGAGAAAATCGACGAAATTTATCGAAAATTGCGTCAACAGTAGCCGACACTGGTCAACGGAAGAGGTCTGATCCTGCTTCACGACAACGCACGTTGGCACGTTTCACAAATCACCGTCCGAAAATTGAACAAATTGAGCGCCAACCTCACCCACCATACTCCCCAGACCTCTTGCCAACTGATTTCTATCTTTTCGAACACTTCGATTACTTTCCAACCGGTAGAACCTTCGTTAATCAGGAGCAGGTATAAACGGCCTTCATCGGCTTCATCGAATCCCAAGCACCCAATTTTAACGCTGATGGAATTAATTAATTTGTTTGAGTGCACTGACTCAAATGGCGCTTATTTCGTTCAAATTGAATGAGTATTCACTGAGATATTACAGTTTAAAGTTCACAATACTGAACTTTCTGGTTCTTAGACTAGTTACATTCCCCTTGACAATCTATATCTATACTAATATTCTAAATGAGAAAGTTTGTGAGGATGGATAAATGTAAGTATGTATGTTTGTGACTCTTTCACGCCTAAACGACTGAACGGATTTAGATGAAACTTCACATAAAAACAGCCAATACATCAGAATAACATATAAGTTAGAATTTACGAATGTGTTGTGTAATTTTGGTGATAATATAACGATATGAATCATTAATTAAGTCAGTCGGAAACTTGGTGTGCGCTGTCTATACCGTTGGAATTACATGAAGATGAAGTACCGTAAGATCATTCTGAATGAAAGTCCGCGATAGCATATATCTACCTTTAATGTGGTAGCCACTATATGCAAAATACTGAGTCATATATACAATTAAATTGGACTTGCACATTTTAGAATATCTGTCGAATTCTTATAAAAATTGATATAATTGTCGTTTTAAGTATTAAGTAATCGTTTAAAAGTTATCACGATAAGATTAACTTGACGCAACGCAGTAAGCCATTACGCGTCGTGTCTACTGTAAGACGACGGTGGACGATGCGCAGGGGTAGAGAGGCGGTCTAAGCAATGAAGCGCCATCGCCGAGAACGCGACCCGACCGCGGGCAGACGTTGACGGTTATGTTAGTTTTGCGAAATTTCTTACAGGTAATATAATTGGATTCTCGAAACTATTCATTGCTTAGTGCAGTTGGCATATTTTCTCAATCACTGTATTTTTTAAGAAAAAATATAAATAACAAGATGTTGCCCGCTCTTATATTAACTTACAGCCGAAGCTACTGAAACTAGAACCTTGAAATATGCAGGTAGGTTCTTTGTAGCGCGTAAATAAACATCAAGAAATAAGTTTTGGGGTAATTAAAAAATATTGTAAGTATTTGTTTGAAATGGTCTGTCACGAAAATTAATGTGACAAACCAAATTATACGCGGGCGAAGCTGCTCTTTTATTAGGAATAGTAACCACCATAAAACGAAGTATGGAAATCAATAATTCTTTTCTAACGGTCACTTCATTTTTATTTCAGCTCAGCGAAGAACTAGGCTACGTGCTCTATTCAGCTCTTGGGTCCTTCTATATCCCTTCCTGTATAATGGTATTTGTCTATATCAGGATATACTATGCCGCAAAAGCACGAGCTCGTCGAGGAATCAGAAAACCTCCCCGGCGGCAAGCACAGGATGCAGTAACGTGTTTCTCAAACAGCCCTGGGGTGAGTTTAAAATTATATTCGAAAAAAACAGGTATTTTGTGAAAACATAATTATGATATTTGGGGATAACATATATTCATACTTATATGCTAATGAGTGAAATAATAATTACTGAATGTTAGATGTTTGGACATACATTGTTTCAAATGGTGTTAACAATTTCAAAATTGAAATCAAGTTAATTGAAATGAAATAAAAATCACGAATGACNTTAATTTATTAGAAAATATTTAATTAGTCCATATTTCATTTTTTTATGTTAATTAGTTAGGGTAGGTAAAAAAAGTAAAAAAAAATATTGAAGTAAATTATAATCTGGTGTGAACAATTTATTTCAATGGTACGCCATAGTACTGAAATAGTGCCGTCGTAGAAAAAGTATATCGTAAAACTCGTTTGAAAAGCGTTTTTCTCATTCACCCAAACTGTCAAAATGGTGTCGAAAACGCTATTTTCTACAGTATACATTAATATGTATTTTCCTTTTTGTTTTCCATTTTATACAGGTATTGTATTGTAAAAAAAATTGAAGAGAAAAAGAAGGTGTAGCTATGTTTATGTAAATACGCACCGAAAAAGTTCAAAATAGTAATTCTATTATAAAATGTGTGCGTAATCCGTGTTATTGATCTTCGAAAAGTCGTCCCGACGTGTGACTCATCTTTCCTAAACCGTTTATGAACAAACCTGTCCCAGCCAGCAAGAAAATGACCTGACTAGTTCCGAAGGAAGGATGAATCACGAACTACTACTCATCAACACGAATCGTAACTTGTTCATTCC